CGGTGGTGTCTATATCTGTAGAGCTGTGGTCTGTGGGTAACTTCCCCCTTGCTCCCTCCCTAGCTACCTACAACCCTGTCTAACCCTGTAATGTGGTGTCCACGTCTCTGCAGGTGTGTGGCAGCCCAGACATCTCTATCACGCTGCTCAAGTCTGTAGCGACGTATAAGGGAGTGGAGGCGTGTTCATCGCTCGTCGCGTGGTTCTGGGAGGTGATGGAAGAGTTCTCCAACACCGAGCGATCGCTGTTCCTGCGCTTCGTCTGGGGTCGCACGCGGCTGCCACGCACCATCGCCGACTTCCGCGGACGCGACTTCGTGCTACAGGTACGTGAGCGTGGCGGGAGTTCAGTGTCCTCTCTCGGCAGTGTGCACTGTGTAGGTTTGTTGCATGATGGGGGTTTGTTTATAGATTCTCTCCCTCGGCAATGTGTGTGGTTGATGTATATGTTCGCATGGTGGGAGGGACGGTGGAAGATTTTGCTTGCGAGTTCGAACTAACAGTTGATCGATGAAGTTGTTGCAGGCATTTTTATTATTACCAAGCAACTTTACTCAACTATTTTGTTAATTAACAAGGTAGTGTATTTGTGATTAACAAGTTGCCTTAGTTGTTTTAATTGAAAAGCTACCAAACTTAACTATTGTTGTAATTACAATAATAAATAATAAATATTAATTCCCTCGTTACACATTACGCACACACAGCAATAAGCTTCTCACCTATGAGTCTACATCTGCATGCTATATGCCATATGATGTACAATATTCACGTCGAGTATGTGAATACCCAGCAGTTATGCAGGCACCAGTGATTGCACGCGCGCAGTAGCTGATGGTATAGATGGTAATGCTGTGAGCGGGGCAGTGGCGTGTATGTAGCACGTAGTACACGCTCTGGCAGCCGTGGTAGCGTTGTCTTTAACCTCTGATCTCTCTTCTATAATCTCAGATATCTCTTCTATAATCTCTGATCTGTCTTCTTTAATCTCTGATCTCTCTTCTATAATATCTGATCTCTCTTCTATAATCTCTGATCTCTTCTATAATCTCTGATCTTTGATAATATCTCATCTTTTCTTTAATCTCTGATATCTCTTCTATAATATCTAATCTCTCTTCTTTAATATCTGATCTCTCTTCTATAATATCTGATCTCTCTTCTATAATGTCTGATCTTTCTTCTATAATATCTGATCTCTCTTCTATAATATCTAATCTCTCTTCTATAACCTCCGATATCTCTTCTATAACCTCCGATATCTCTTCTATAATCTCAGATATCTCTTCTATAATCTCTGATCTATCTTCTATAATCTCAGATATCTCTTCTATAATCTCTGATCTGTCTTCTTTAATCTCTGATCTCTATTCTTTAATGTCTGATNGTGATCTGATGATGATGGATGATGTGATGATGAATGATGATGATGTATGGACAGTCGAGAGACGATCACGGTGAGAGCGTTGGAGAGTGCATGTCGGAGAGTATAGCAGCGAGGGCTCGTCGACCTGATACGACTGATCGCGCGATTGATGTCGATGATGATGATGATGATGATTGAATAGATGACTGATGATGATGATGATGATTAATGATGGTGATGATGAATTGATGAATGAATGATGAATAGGTCAGCATTGATGCTTGATAGATGATGGTCGTGGAGAGAGCACGTGAGAGTGGAGAGCTGATGTGGAGAGTATTAGACAGACAGCGGACTGTCCCATGCATACGACTGTGACTCGCGCGGCGATGAATGATGAATGCATGATGATCGAGAGATGATGATGATGATGATGCATGATGATGGTGATGATGATGATGATGAATGATGGGTGGAGCGAGCAGTGAGAGTGGGCGAGCAGTGATGTGGAGCAGTAATAGACATGATTGCAGGGACTCGTCCCTGAGTACGACTGATCGCGCAGATGATGATGATGATGATTGCATCTCGAATGGAGCTCAGTCATGAGGAATTATGCCTCGACTTGTCGTAGTCGTGGCGAATGAAGATGAGTGTCGGTCAATGTCTCTGAATGATGATGATGATGATGATGATAGATGATTGATGCATGATGAATGAATGATGATGATGATGATGCATGATGATGCATGGGGGGGGGGATGGCAGAACGAGAGTGAGAGTGGGGAGAGTGGATGTGGAGACGTAATAGACAGTTTGAGGACCGTCCCTTGAATAGCGACTGATCGCGCGCGATGATAGATGATGATGATCGATGATGAATGATGAAATTGGTTGATGATGATGATGATAGATGATGGTGTGGAGCGAGCAGTGGAGAGCGAGGGAGGTGATGTGGAGACGCTATAGAATAGGAGCAGACTCGTCCTGATACGACTGATCCGCGTGATGATGATGATGATGATGATGATGATATATAGTAGATGATGTAGATGATTGATTGGGATTGAATCATGAATGATGATGGATATGATTGATGATGATGATGATGTGTGATGATGATGATGATGGTGTGAGAGCACGAGCAGTGATGAGTGCGGGAGAAGTGATGTGGAGAGGTATAGACAGTGAGGGACGTAGTCCTGATACGATGAATCGTGCGCTCAGGATGATGGATGATGATGGATGATGTGAATGAATTGGATGATGAGGCATAATTTGTGATGATGATGGTGTGGAGACTTAGAGTGGAGTGGCGTAGGTGATGTGGAGAGTATGACAGTGAGGGAACTCTGTCCTGATACCGATGATCGCGCGATGAATGATGATGAATGATGGATGATGATTGATGAATGTATGGATGATGATGATGATGTTTCATTGGATTGATGATGATGATTGATGAATGATTATGATGATTGATGCATGATGTGATGATGATGCATGAATGATGATGATAGATGATTGATGAGTGGTATGATTGTTGATGATTGATGATGATTGATTTGATGATGATGACGTTGATTGTAGATGATGATTGATGATTGGTGATGGTGGTGCGAAGACGAGCAGTCGAGATGGGAGGGGGCATGTGCGAGTATAGACAGCGAGGGCACTCGAAGTCACAATGATCCGACTGATCGCGCGAATTGAATGATGATGATGATGATGATGATGATGATGATGACTGCTGAATAATGATGATCGATGATGATGATGTGGTGGAGACGAGCAGTTGAGAGTGGCGAGAGTAGGATGTGGAGAGTATACGAAAAACGAAGAGGAACTACGTAAACCACAATAAATACTCGAAGAACTGAACAGATCGCGCGATGCATGATGATGATGTATGTGACTGATGATGATGAAAGTATGATGATGATGATGATGAATGTGATGATGATGGGTTGGGAGAGCAGAGTGAGAGTGGGGAGAGTGGATGCTGGGAGAGTATAGATAGCGAGGGACATCGTCCCCTGAATTAACAGACTGACTCGCGCGATGATGATGATGATGCATGATGAATGTGTGAATGATGATGATGATGATGATGATGGTGATGATGATTGATATGATTGATTGGTGATGATGAATGATTCGAACGGAGTGGTAGAGACGAGCAGTGACGAGATGGGCGAGACGTGAGGTGAAGAGTATAGACAGCGAGGGGACTCGTCCCTGATACGATGATCGCGGCGAATCGATATGATGAATGATGATGAAGATGGATGATGATGATGATGATGCATGCATGATGATGATTTGATGATGATGATGATGCATGATGCGTGGGACGACGGCAGTGAGCAGGCGGGGAGATTGATGTGGGAGTACTTATACGACAGCGAGGGACTCGTCCCATGATACGGATGATGCAGCGATGATGATGAGTGATGATGATGATAGTGGAATGTATGATGAATTGATGATGATGATATGATGCGTGGATGAGTGGGATTGTGTGGAGCACGGAGCAGTGAGCAGTGGTGGAGAAGTGATGTGGCAGAGTATAGAGTAGCGAGGAACTCGTCTGATACCGACTGATCGCGCGATGATGATTGATGATTGATGATGATGATGATTGATGATGCATCGGATAGATGATGTATGATGGATGATTGGATGATGGTGTGGAGACGAGCAGTGAGAGTGGGGAGAGTGATGTGGAGAGTATAGACAGCGAGGGACTCGTCCCTGATACCGACTGATCGCGCGATGATGATGATGATGATGATGATGATGATGATGATGATGATGATGATGATGATGGTGTGGAGACGAGCAGTGAGAGTGGGGAGAGTGATGTGGAGAGTATAGACAGCGAGAGACTCGTCCCTGATACCGACTGATCGCGCGATGATGATGATGATGATGATGATGGTGATGATGATGATGATGATGATGATGGTGGTGGAGACGAGCAGTGAGAGTGGGGAGAGTGATGTGGAGAGTATAGACAGCGAGGGACTCGTCCCTGATACCGACTGATCGCGCGATGATGATGATGATGATGATGATGATGATGATGATGATGATGATGATGATGATGATGATGATGATGATGGTGGAGACGAGCAGTGAGAGCGGGGAGAGTGATGTGGAGAGTATAGACAGCGAGGGACTCGTCCCTGATACCGACTGATCGCGCGATGATGATGATGATGATGATGATGATGATGATGATGATGATGATGATGATGATGATGATGGTGGTGGAGACGAGCAGTGAGAGTGGGGAGAGTGATGTGGAGAGTATAGACAGAGAGGGACTCGTCCCTGATACCGACTGATCGCACAATAGATCACTTGACGCACCGTGTGACGGATTTTGAGATTAGGCGTGTGTTTGTTTGGGCGGATCATATGATACGAATCACATGGATCCATTGATCCTGTGAATTGTTTTAGTGGATCACTGATCGGGATCATAAATTGTTGACGCTGCTAGCGAGGTGCGTTCGAAGGAGATCCAATATGGCGGTGCGCGACTTGGCCAATCACTGCTTGTTGTTAGTTATGAACTATTCTGTGATTGGTCACAGCAACATGTGATCAGTTTGAGGCACGTTGGCATTTCATTTGGGCAGATACGGATCAAGTGATCCTGATAAAATGGATCCATCCCAAACAAACACGCTCCGTGTTAGTGCTATCTTATGACACGTGTGAAATACTTTTTAAAACAAAGTAGAATTAGAAAAGCATCCCTGTAATCTGCCAAATAGCTGTGACATAAAAAAAATTACCAATGTATCTTAATCACTAATAGTATAACCATGATAACACTTGCTTATTTTTCACAATCTCGCTTAGTGCCATTTCGCAGTGTCAAGAAGAGAAACGGAGTTGTCGACTTGCTCATTTTTGCTTATTAAGCTCGGTGTGTGACTGCATGTATATATTTTTTGTGTATATATAATTTATTTAGCATCAGCCCAGATGTGAACAAACTCACGTTAGCAATCGTAAGATGAGAATTCCATGTGATATTATGTGGATGGTGGCTATTCAAACTACAGTAGTGCCTCGTAGTGGCTTCCACCCCCACCACTACACTAGTACGTATTGTGAAAGGACACATGTATAGATGTATGGCTTTGAGTCGTGATACATTTGGCAGTTTTATGATGTGCAATATTTAGCAAAGTTGTAACAAATACACGCATTACATTGCTGTTACGAGGAGTCAGTAACAGGTTAGTGTAGCTACTGCACAGTATCAATCTGTACTTATACATGTTATATCACGAGGTATGTTTTACAACGAATTTGCTCTTTGCCTCGCTCATTAGAACCTTGATTAGTACGTTTTATTGAAATAATCACGTTTAGTTTTAAGAAGTGTACCTGAAATTATTATAGTGTATGCATACACTTTGCGTGAGCTTTGAACTTTTTTTTGTTAATTATTGAAATAACGTTTACATTTCAGTGTGATAGGTTTGATCGATATTTATGCATCCCCGAATATCGTGGCAAATTTCTAATATTAGACCATTGTTACACCCTGATAATCCGTCATACGTCCTGGAAAACCCGCGTTTTGTTCTATGGATGAAGGAATTATTCATACCTTACCAGTCATGAATAGACTTGTGTTGTGTACCAAAAATAAATTAAAACCGAGCTATTTTAAAGCTAAAAGTAGTTACTGCGTTTAGTGTTTGTACGTTGGTGCGTGTGCCAAGACGATTAAACAGTGCAGAACAATAATGCTGTTTCATAAGAAATGAAAAATTAAATCAATGTGAGTAATTAGACTGTGAAGGTCACGATGGGAGTATGCACTATGCAGGGACATGCTGTGTATCGCGTGTCTGAGTGTGAAGGTCACCAGGCGTGTATGCAGGGACATGCTGTGTATCGCGTGTCTGTGTGTGAAGGTCACCAGGCGTGTATGCAGGGACATGCTGTGTATCGCGTGTCTGAGTGTGAAGGTCACCAGGCGTGTATGCAGGGACATGCTGTGTATCGCGTGTCTGAGTGTAGACAAGGTAGCTTCTGTACAGCATACTACGTGGGTTAATGCACGGGGTGGCTCACAAATTTAATGATACTCAGAGGAATTATATGCTGAAGTCAATTATTGCTCTCATTAAATCCCTGCTATTTAAAAAGCTCGGTAGTTACATACAAGTCGTAACTACATGAGACGATGCTTATAATTCCATAATTTGTTTAAATCAAGTATTTGCCAACTGATATTATAACGTGCAGTAAAGTGAGTCTTGTGTTGTAAAGTTGATCTGTTTCTGTATTTTCTGATGTTCATATACAGTACACAATCTATTATCCGAAATTTTGAAAATCGAAGCTCCGAAAACCTAAAAAATGTTCGTGGAGGTCGTCTGCACATGAAAGCTTGTGTTTGGCTGCACAAGGTTCACTGCAGAAATATTAATGTGTTTGGCATTACTCATACATATTGTACTGTACCGGTGCAGCACTTGGCCTCTAGAAAATTTGGGTTTTAGTATTGGCTAGTTGCAGGATATACCTACGGTATCTATATCTGTACTGTACTACCATTCCGAAATCCGAAAAATTCCGAATTCCGAAACGTGTGTGGTCCCAAGGGTTTCGGATAATAGATTGTGTACTGTACATATATTCTTCAAGAAAACAGAAGCTACATCACCTAAGGTTTCTAGGACAAAATCACTAAGGAAGCAATTATCTTTTTTTATAGATTATGTATTTTCATTTCTAGTAAATGTCAAGAAATGACATCCAACCAAGTTTCACAAAGTGCACATTTTTCTAAAAGTTATTTAAAAAAGGAATACTTTCATAAACATAATAGCAACATCTTGGATAGAAACAGAGCAAGTGTTTGGAAGACTAAATACAACATTTGGAAGTTTTTTTTATAAAACCATGTGATTAACATGTTTAAAAAAAAATATCAAACTGGACAAGCATAAAATTCTACTAGCACCTAAAAGATTTTTTTTCACGTTTTGCACCACCAGCTCCTCTGACATTAACATCTCATCATCCATATCACATCTAAAGACCTAAACATATGTCATTCTAAGCACCACATCTGAGTTAGTCTTCAGAACCAGGTAAGTTTACGAATTCATTCACAGATATGTCGCACGGCTCGATGTCTGTGAGTTTAATCTATATAGCGAGATCTATATCATATTTACTATATAGCGAGATCTATATCATATGTACTCATTTTTGAGATGATTGCATTGGCATCCGTACATGACCGACTGATGAATCGTGATTGGATCGAATCACACTAGATGGCAGCAGTGTCTACGTTGTGGTCGCCCTGGGTGATGAAGGTCGTGCTGCTCATGGAACCAGACGCCATGTCATCAAAGCTGAACCGGCGTCGCTTCTGCTGACTCAGCTTCACCTGCAATCGTTAATCGTCGCTAACGAGCAGCACGCGGTGCAGCTAGCGCCCTCTACCCTCGGCAGGCGCGACGGTTTTGTTGGCCGAGACGAAGGTTCGGCGTGGGGAGAGTGAGGTGGTGTGATGAGAAATAGATGAGAGATAGAAGGGCACTGTTGTTGTTGGCTGGTTCCATGAGTAAAGCGCGTCATCAGTGAATTTAGATTTTTCAGGATCTGCTCTCGGGGACGAAAAATGCCAGTTGCACATCAGCAAAGTTTAATGCTAGCCTGGCAAGTCTTCCCATAGCAACTGTGCAAGCTATTTCTTTTCAAAAACCTTCTTTCAAAAGTCTGTGAGAGTGAATTTTTGCTTTGGATTACAAGTTTAGTGGTTATAATTGCTAGATAACCCAGGTTTTCTGCAACTGCGCTTTATTGCACTTACTTTGCTGATATATGGGCATGCCTCACCTTAGGTACCTAAACTTACCCTCAGCTGAAGTTTATTAGTAAAGAACATATTTCTCCAGCCCATCTGTTTAGCAAGCGACTCCACCTCTTCTGTTACAGGCTGGTTAGAACTTCTGTGATACAAGATGCTCCAAAGGTCGTCACTCCAGCAGATCTGTCGAATACAAGTCACAACTGTTGATAATCGACCAATTGAGACTATCGACCATGGCTTGTGCAGTTCTTACAGGTATAGTCAAGAATACAAATAGTCTGTAAAAATAGCAGCTGCCCAAACATAGCATTAAAATGCATAAATAACTAACATTTCTACACAATAACGGAACTTTAGCAATATGAGATCATGCATGGGAGATATTACATTGAATTAATCGGGGGGAAAAACACCTAGATACCTCTTGAAACTGTTTAGATGTCTGAGCAATCTTGCTAATGTCCGGCAGGTCCAGTAGCGAGACTACGTGAAGGAGAGCGCGTCTCGGGAGGCGACACAGGTAGTCGATGTGACCCTCGACCAGACCTTTCACATACTCCAGCATGTTGTTTCCAAACACTCTCTTGATCTCGTCTAGGATTACGCAAACGAATTACACTATCCGTCTGAGCCAGGTAAAGACTTCTAGGGCTCATAGGGTCTATGTCCACCAAGGTACTATCGGAGGGTACCCTGGGTACGGTTCGATATATCGGAACGTACCCTGGTAACTATCTGATATGGTTAGGGTTAGGGTTAGGGTTAGGGAGTAGGCGTAGGCGACTCCCTAGACTCGTTAGTGGAGTAGGCGAGGTACGGTCTGGCATATTAGATAGTACCAGGGTACGTTACAATATATCGAACCGTACCCATGCAGGGTACCCTCCGATAGTACCCTGGGGGATATAGACCCTCTCAGCACTACTAGGTCATCGTTAGGATGATCATTATCTAGATCATCAAGATCACTAGGATGATCATTACTAGGTCAGTCAAGTTGGAACAGTTGATGTGATTTTCACGTGTGTCATATTATCAACTTTTTAGCACTGGGTTACTAAGCAGTGTTGTCAACATGTCTTATCGTAATGTGGTTTTGTTTACCTGCCTATCACTCCATGCAGATAGGTGAATTAGACCCAGTGCACTAATTGTTACAATTAGGCACACGTACATGATTTATACGTTATATGCCTTACAAATGTTCGTAGGCCCCGTTTCTGAGACATAGATGTGCAGTAACTAGAAATTAGAATTTTTTTATTTTGTTTGCGTTGTGATCACATATATATTACATACAAGGGTATGGGCTTATTTATGAATATGGAGAGCATATATAGCTGTTAGTGGGGGAGAGCTATCATTTTATTTATGTACCTGTAATTACCTGTAATTTTTTTCAGGTAATTATCTTCTAAATTTGGCATGAGACTCATTTATCAGATCGTCTTATAAGCCACAAAATATGGCATATTACATCAAACACGTTTCCTAACAAATCTCATCCCTGCTTAACACTGAAATTTCTCATAGCTACACAAATCATGTTATTAACATGTATTGTATATGGCATAATGATAAACCTTCTGAACAATTTGAAGTTCAAATATGAGCCACATACATTTCCATAGAATTTAGACAGGAGAAACTGTATCTATAGTGGATTTCATACTTTGAATTCTTTCATCGTCTAAGAAATCTTCATAATTATCCTTTAATTCCCCTGGGTAGAGCTTCTCTTCATTTCGAAGCGAGATTTTCCACCACCTCCAGATAACCTGAAATTAAAAGCCATGCCAGCAAATAGCATGAATTTCCATGCAAAGTTGAAGATTGCACATTGCTACCCCTTGAAAACGTTAAAATCATCCGGGCAAGTAGCTCTAGTACTATAGCCCGCGTATAGTTGCCGCAGGCCTGCAGCAACTGTACGCGGACTATAGTACTAGAGCTACCGGGCAAGCAGCTTCTCTGTGTCCCAGGTTTTGGGCTTGAAGTTGAAGCAGTTAGTTAGGGAGCTAAAGGTATGCTTAAATAAATTGATGTTACAGCGAGTGTAACCCGACCAGGCTGTGTGACTAATGTCAATATACACACAATATTGTATAACGGTCTCCTAACCCTAGCAAAGACCGTTTCTTGGAGCTACAGCGAGTGATGAAACACCAAAAGGAGATGAAGAGTACTGACTGATGCTCAAGGGGTCGTTGTCGTATCAGGTACTACAGATATGTACCCGAGGTACATTATGTATACACAAAGTGTACCAGACTTGTACTACAGAAGTGTACCCTAACCCTAACACTAACCCTAAACATACCTCATATAAAAATATAAACATAATACTAAACAACCTAAAACTACCTCGGGTACATATCTGTAGGGCTCAGGGATAGAGAAGATGTCCAGTCCTATCTTATCAACTAACATCATCTGTACTGTAGCACTGTAGTACCTGATACTACAACGACCCCATCTGCCTGACGGACAGTACTGAAGATTGAAGTGTAGTCCGAGTTTCCTCTGACCAATGCCCACACCGACGATTTTTTATAGTGAGTTTTGGTGGTGATCACTGATGATGTGGTGATGGCACTGATGCGCGTGAACGGTGAGTGTACTGTGTACAGTGTAGGCCTTGCCGCCTACACGCTACAGGCTTATCATTAATTATTGACGAATATTGTGGAATACTTTTATTATCAGGCCTGTCGAATTAACATTGTAAAAATCTGAATACAGCTATACATAACCTCGTCATTTGTCGTAATGTACAGCTGACAAAAGTCTTTTGACGGCGCGGGTGCTTGATCAGAAGCATCGAGCAATACTCCGTCAGGTATTAGAGACGCCATGCTGTTGCTATGATACTGAGGCGGTAGGTCATCGTGGACGGGACGTCCGGCGTGACGATACTAGCGACACGCGACGACAAACTATACTGAAGTTTATTCATTTTCTTTGGATTGTTTGTGCTCTTTGCAGTTTTGGAGTAAACAGATGCCTAATAATAAATTTAAATCGCTCTAAAATCATCGAACAAAAAATATAGACGGATTCTAACTAGACTAAAATTACGTGTTTCCCAAAGTAGGCGGGGTCGTATACAGCTTGGTATACAGTACTATACTGTTGTAGCGTTTCGCGTCTCCCGGCGACACCCGATGGCGCCACCGGTCCACACTTAGTGACTATCACCAGTGCACTTATATCAACGCTTGATATAAGTGATAAAGTTGATATAAGTGCTCTGCTATGACTATCATACAACCTTAGGTATTTCACTCACCTGTTGTGCCCGGAGGCGTTGAATTACCCGTATCGTCGTCACCCGGACCCCGCTAGCCACTCGAGCTCTTCAAGGCTACTGCGCTCTCACAATAATCCGTTCTATAGGGGTATACCGTATCATAGGGTCTATGTCCCCCAGGGTACTGCCGGAACGTACCCTGGTAACTATCTGATATGGTTAGGGTTAGGGTTAGGGTTAGAGTTAGGGTTAGGGTTAGGGTTAGGGTTAGGGTTAGGGTTAGGGTTAGGGTTAGAGTTAGGGTTAGGGTTAGGGGATAAGTGTTAGGGTTAGGGTTAGGGAGTAGGCGTAGGCGACTCCCTAGACTCGTTAGTGGAGTAGGCGAGGTACGGTCCGGCATATTAGATAGTACCTGCAGAACATATAAATCACGTTGTTTTATATGCTCTGGTACCAGGGTAAGTTCCGGTATACCGGACCGTACCCAGGGTACGTTCCGGCAGTACCCTGGGGGACATAGACCCTCTCAGCGGTAGTATACCACCCCCACTACCTGCTGGTGCTGGGGGATTACCTAGGGGCCTCAGTCTGGGACACTCATCACTGATCTCTACTATACTAACGTTAGTACCTATAGTAGAGATCCGTGGGGAGTCTGGGGACACTTTATTATTATGAGAGTAAGTTGAGTGGAAGCTTTTAGGGTAAGGTAGCCCGACCTGGTTCTGAAATAAATGTCAATACACATTTGTTTTCGATTGATAATTTTTAATTGAAGCTAAGGGTAGGGTATAGGTATTGGGTATGACGGCCCCACGGGGACAGTAGTCACTCGTCATAAAGAGGCAATATCGGGTACACATTACAGATTCATACGGGAAACGGAAAATTAATCTTATGTAAGCATACA